GCTTCTAGCATTAAATCTAATTTTTTCTTTTAGTTCTGGGGATAAAGTCTAGACCCTTTAATTCTATAAATTTCTAAGATTCTTACTGTGGGAATTTCCATATTCTGGGTTGATTGTTTGGTTATACTAGGGATTCAACCTAGTTCTCTCCCTAGCTAGGCAAGTGCTCCCCCACTTGAGCCATGGCCCCACCCTTCCATCCCCTGTTTAAAACTTCTTTTTTACCTTTCTTTATTTCATTCATTCGCTCATTTATTTTCTCGTGTGTGTGTGTGTGTGTGTGTGTGTGTGTGTGTGTGTGTGTGTATGTGTGTCAGTACTAGGGCTGGAGCTCTGTATAGGTTCTGTCCCCGACTTTTTCACTCAAGGCTGGTGCTCTACCACTTGAGTTGTACTTCTGGACTTTTGGTAGTTAATTAGGGATAAGGGTCTCATGAGGCTTTTCTGCCCAAGATGGCTTTGAACTGTGATCCTTAGAACTCTAAGGAATCTAAGGATCCTTAGATTCTTAGAATTGAGTAGCTCAGATTAGAGGCATGAGACACCAGCACCCAGCTTAAAACCTATTTTCCACTTGTCTTCTTCTAATCTGCAGCAACTCAGTAGCCCGTGAACAAGCTTTATCCTTTCATGCTTGTCTGCTCAGGCTCATTATATCTCCCTGCCTCCCCTCCCCTTCTTCCTGTCCAAGTGCTTTTCTTCACGAGGACCCCCTTGATGATGCCAATTAGAAATGTCCTTTCTCTTCTTGGATTCCACAACCATCGATTGTATATGCCACTTATCTGTGACAGCATTTGTGTTAGTAAAATGAACTGCCATTTATTTCCTGTGTGGTCACAAAAGTAGTCATGAGTAAATTTATGTCCTGTTTCCTTAACTAGATCCCAAGGCATCAGGGAGAGTAAGTCTGCCTTATGCCCTTGTAGCCTCTAGCACAGACCTTTGGACATGGTAACGGTAATGGTGGTTTTGTCTCTTGGCCTTCTGGCTCAGGTCAGGTATAAGATCTGCTCTTGCCTATACTAGTGGTGGTGAGAATGTCAACAATAGTTCACATAATAGTATGCTTTCTGGATGCCAGCACTTTCCATGATGTATTCATCACAGCATGAGAATTTGAGGGGTGTTTGGTGTCATGGTTATACCTCATACTAACTCTTTGAAAGGGGAGTTTGAGAGAAAAATAAAATCATCATGACACTCAGACAATTCTGGGTCAGATGATCAGGAACGAAGATGAAGTTTCTAGGAGCAGCCTAACACATGAGAGAATGCAGGTAATCATGGCCTAAGAAGGAAAGGGAGAGGAAGAGCAGCAGAGAGGAATAAATGGGCCCTCGTTTGATTCTGCAGACACAAGCCTGTCTATGCTCACTCATTCTTTTCTTCATGGGTTCAGCCATGCTGAGGCTTCCTTCCCATAGTGGGTCCCCTGGAGACACCAGTACTGGTGCCCACCCTCCTTCCCACCTGTCCATACCACCAGGGTTCTCAGCCCAGCTGGCTGTGGGCCACCTGTCTCTCCTGCACTTGGAAGGCTCCTGAGGAGTGACTGTCTGGGCTGTGCAGGAGTGAATGTGCTGAGCATGCTTGATGCGGAGCAGCCGGAGCAAACAAGCTAATGGAAATTAATCCCCACCCCTGGGCCTTTTCTCTCCTTTTGATCATCATTAGCTGCTCGGACTTTTCCCCGTGTCTCAACACTGCAGAAATGTTTCCGAGTGTAGGGATTCTGGGTAATTTTCCCCCCAGCCTTTAAGGTAAGGCAGCCAGAAGGGTACCTGCTGTGCTCTAAACCTGCAGCTCCGGCGCTCTAGTAGGTCTAGTAGGTATCATTTGTGTGTAGAAAAAACAGGGAAATCTAAGGGTGTTTTAGTAGACTTCAGTGCCAATATATACATATATATGCATATGTATGTCTATGTCAGTCCAGCAGCCTAGAATTAAATACTGTGTTCCCTGCTTAACGCACACCCTTACTCTTTATCAGATGCAAATAAATAGGTCTTAGCATTTTCAGATTCTTAAACACAGGGAGACTAAAAGGAGAAAATGACTGTAGTTTATGAGAACGCTCACCTCCACAGGTGCTAAAATGTCAGCCCCTTAGTCAAATCTTCCACATCTGGGTGGAAGGATGAGCAACTTAAAGAACAGGTCTGGTCAGGTGTCAGTGGTTCACGCCTGTAATCCTAGCTACTCAGGAGGCTGAGATCTTACAACCACAGTTCAAAAACCAGCTCAAGTAGGAAAGTCCGTGAGACATCTTATCTCCGATAAACCTCCAGAAAACCAGAAGTGGTGCTGTGGCTCAAGTGGTAGAGCACTCACCTCTAGCTGAAGAGGTGAAGGACAGCACTCAGGCCCAGACCAACCAAAAAAGTAATAAATTTTAAAAAATTTTAAAAAGAACAGGTCTGGTTTCTAGGAGAAGCCCAGGGACTGTAGCTGGTTGTATTGAACCCCAACATACCCCAGAGAAATGTGCTTGCTTTCTGTCCAACATGTTATTAGACTTTTAGTTAGGTTGCATTTGTCCTTGAAAACAGGACAGTGCTTGGATTTGCTGCTGCCAAAACGGTAAGGTGGCGGTCACTCTGTCAAACTTTGGCCAGAATGAATGAAGAATGCCATTTAAATCTTACATATATTTAAAATTAGTATGCACTATAGTAGTCCTTCTCTTTTTTTTAGTATGTGTCAGAGGGAGGGGGTATGAGGGCTAGCACTCAGGACCTAGGCCCTGTCCCTGAGCTTTTGTGCTCAAGGCTAACGCTCTACCACTTGAGCCAGAGCTGTACTTCCTGGCTTTCGGGTGGTTCCTTGGAGATAAGAGTCTCATGAACATTCCTGTCTGGGCTGGTTTTGAATCCCAATCCTCAGATTTCAACCTCCTGAGTAGCAAGGATTATAGGTATAAGCCACTGGCACTGGGTATATTTCTTCTCTCTTCAGAATATTGTCTAGGTAGCTGTTGTACAATGTTCACACATGACTCAAACACCAATCATATTTATAATAGAGTCTATGTGTGCAAGGATGAGGCCCATCTTTTTTGTCCTTGGATTCTCTGCCTCCACTCAGGCAGTGGCACCTGAGGCTTGTACAGTAAACATTTGCTGAATGAATGAACAGATGAATAAAGAAGCTGAGTTCCTAACACTAAAATAGCCATGAAGTCAGAAGGAACCTGATGCTGCCAGCCTCAGGAACTGCCAACATTATACCCTTGAGGAGTACTGGCTGAGCTCCGCTTTTTGTTGCTGTTAAGTCAGATATTTAATCATTTTAAAAAAAGCCAACCAAACCCTTCTATGGTTTGGGCTCAGCTGAGCGAGCATACAGCTAGCCACTTCCAGCTGACATTCTCTCCTGGCTGGGTCACTGTGTGTCTCCCTTTGCTGTGTCTTCTCTCCAAACACTGGTCCTCCATGGGGATCTTGTAGGCTACCAGGCCCAGCCACACTACCAGGTCAGCTCCTATCTTGAGTCTTTAAACCTGAGTGCCCAGAAACTGACTGCCAGACACTTCACAAAACCAAACACACAGATCATTCATGTCACCTTCTCTCCTGCTTTTATTTTTTTGTTATTTTGTTTTGATGATCATGGGGCTTGAACTCAGGACCTGAGCTCTGTCCTTGAGCTTTTTCACTCAAGGGTAGCACTCTGCCACTTTGAGCCACAGATCCACTTTCCAATTTTCTGGTGATTAATTGGAGATAAGAATCTCGGAGACTTTCCTGCCTGGGCTGGCTTTGAGTGTGATCCTCAAATCTCAGCTTCCCGAGTAGCTAGGATTATAGGTATAAGCTACCAGCACCCAGCTTCTCCAGTTGTTTTGATTTTGTTTCTTTTCCTTCTCTGTTTGCTATTCTTTTCTCTTGCTTTTTTCCTCTCTGCCATTCTTTCGTTTTTCTTTGTGCTATCGTAGTCTTCAGTCTTCTCTCTAGTCTTAACCTGAAGAGACCACCAGCATTTCTTTGTACAGAACCACCAAGTTTTCACTTGAGCTGGTAAATCATGGGTTGGGTGCTTGGTCTTTGCTGATTTGCCAGTGTCTTGTCATCTCTCCCAGGACTGAAGATCAAGAGCCCTTGCCTGCCATTCTGGGTGTGAGAGATAGTGTAATTCTATGGGTAGCTCCCAGTCCAAACCTTCATGCTCTTAATCCCATGTGGATCATAGTTTGGCATATCCTAACTTCTTTGACACTTCATTCTCCTCTACCTTCAAGGAACTCTTTGAAGGCAGGCAATTTGGTTTACTGTATGACACCATCAAGCCTAGAATAGGCCTGCCACCTTGTAGGAATTGAATAGATGTTTGTCTAGTTACCCACAGTGCATCTGAGGAACAAATACTCTGTGCCACATTCCAGGCTGTAGAGATGGAGTGGATAACCAGACAGACTTTTCTAGGCCCAGGGAGCCATAGTCTTTCAGGAAAGATCGATTATCAACTAATACTTGGAAAAGTGAAAGCAGGGGCCAGAGGACCCATGGGGAGCCCACCCCAGGATGCGTCAGGAAAAGCTCCCCTAAGAATCTTAATAGGCAGGAGTTAGACAAAGAGAACAGAGAAGAGTGGAGAGACTAAGAAAACATTCTAAGAAGAGGGAATTTTGCATGGATGGATGGATGAATGGATGGACAGATGGACAGACTAGTGAGTGAATCTGGCATTGGAACCTAAATTTGGTGAGATAATTATATAGAATATCCTAACTGGCAGTGGGAATCATGGGTGAATCAAGTAGTCTCATCTTGATACTGTATAGAGAGAGTGCTGGCTGTGGTTTGTGAGCTCTGGTGTGGCCCCAGTTTGCCAGAGATCCACATGCTCCCAGAATACCTCAGCTTCCTCTGCCAGGCATGGTTAAACCTGGGATTTAGGGGAAAATGTCTTAGTTGGTCCCATGGGATATAGCCCTGACCACCTCAGGCAGCTCAGCTCACTCAAGGCTCATCTCCCTAACCCCACTCCAACCCCACCAGACGAGCGGGAAGTTGTTCAGAAGAAGACCTTCACAAAGTGGGTGAACTCTCACCTGGCTCGAGTGTCCTGCCGCATCAGCGATCTCTACAAGGACCTGCGGGATGGACGGATGCTCATCAAGCTGCTGGAGGTTCTCTCTGGAGAAATGCTGGTAATGCTCTGGTCTGTGCTGTGCCCCTCCCTGGCTTGGTGATTGGTGCCATCAGCCCCTCTTCCGTAAAGGCATTTTGTGGCCTAATTCTCCAGGCCTGCCAGGGTTTTCTCCCTGTTCCTTTGCAAAGTTCCTAGTCAAGTGTCTATGTGGCTGACCAGGTTCCCTCACCTCTTCCCAGAACTTCTTGCTCCTCCCCACTCCCCATCCCTCCATGCTTCTTGCAGAAGCCATATAGAGTTTTGTCATTCTCACTGGGATCTGGGCATCTGGACTGGCCTTAAATGGCTCCCAACACAGGCCAAGATATATGGATTACTGGAGAAACTTGCACCCATCTTGGAACCAAAAGGAGAATAGAGAAGATAGTTTTCTGTGTGCTTTACCACACATGCAAGTGGAGATCTGTTAGAGCTCCTCCCTCTTTGTTTTACCTTCCTGGCCTTCTGGTAGCCTCTGAAGGAGAGGCTTAATTGCTTTCTCTGTGACCTGGGGCCTATCAAAGCAGGACCTTCTTGGCCTCCATTTCCTCCATATATTAAATGAAGTACTCTGAGATCTTCAGGTTTGAATGAACAACTACCTTGTTCTGTTGCCTTTTTTTAAACTCCAGAATGAATTCCTACTTTTAAACCTCATATTATACTGAAATTATATTTGAAGGCTTCCCCTGGGATCCTTCTGATGGTACATTTAACGTCAATTATGATTCCTCCCCACCCCCAGTCCCTGGGTTCTGTCTCTGAGCAGCCTGAGAGAAGAAGTTGGTTAGGGGGTCTGAGTCCCTTAACCATCATCAAGCTAAAAGTTATTCTTATCATTGATCAGCAGTAAGTAGTTCTTAGAACTGCACCTGACATACAGTAAGTGCTCAGTTAACTGTCCATTGGTGTGATCAGAAAGGGCCTCCATGCCTGGTTACAGAGCTCTGAGTGCAGAGACAATAAGCCTCTGAACTTTGCTGAGAGGAAGGGGTTGAAAGGTGTCAGGAGCAACTGCAGGACTTGGAGTTTTGTCTGCAAGATGGAGGGTGGGCTGATGACAAGTTGGTCCAGGCTTCAGGGACCTCTGGGGTGAGCGTTCCCTCTCTCTGTGCCCATGGGGGCCACTGCTGTCCCTCAGCCAAGGCCCACCAAGGGGAAGATGCGCATCCACTGCCTGGAGAACGTGGACAAGGCCTTACAGTTCCTCAAGGAGCAGCGTGTACACCTGGAGAACATGGGCTCCCATGACATCGTGGATGGCAACCACCGCCTGGTCCTGGGCCTCATCTGGACCATTATCCTCCGCTTCCAGGTGGGTCCTGGGGGCAGAGGGAACTGAAGAGGAGTCTCCAAACTAGCCAGGCTCTGGGATACTTGCATCCTACGAGACAATGATTGTTGACAAGAGAACTGATCTTCTGTGTCATTCCAAAGTGCCAAAGCTGAGGTTAGCTTCTCAGCTATAATCTTCTGAGGGAGAAAATAATACAAGTGAATTAGTACCTACATTGCAGTATCCTGGAAGACTTGCTTTTTAATGTCTTCCTTCCTCCCATGGAGCTTCTTGGTTCTTAAAATAATTTGGTTTAGAAATTGAAAAAAAAAAGTGCAGAAAATCTGCTTTTGTGTATCTGTGTCAGTACTGGTACTTGAACTCAGGGCCTGATATTCTTTTTTTTTTTTCTGCCAGTCCTGGGGCTTGAACTTAGGGCCTGGGCAGTGTCCCTAAACTTCTTTTGCTCAAGGATAGCACTCTACCACTTGAGCCACAGTGCCACTTCTGGCCTTTTCTGTTTATATGGCACTGAGGAATCGAACCCAGGGCTTTATGCATACTAGACAAGCACTCTACCACTAAGCCATATTCCCAGCCTTGACCTGATACTCTTGCTTGGCTTTTTTGCTCAAGGCAAGCACTCTGCCATTTGACCCACCTCCAGTTCTAACTTTTTGATGGTTAATTGGAGACAAAAGGGTCTCAACAATTTTGCCTGCCTGGGCCAGCTTTGAACTGGGATCCTCAGATCTCAGTCTCGAGTAGAAAAAAAAAATCTGCTTTTATACTTTTCCATCAGAACCCTCTCTTCGTGACATTCAAAGTCTAGATTACTTGTAAGGATATTTAGAAAGGGTGGGGGAAAGACATCAGGGCCCTTGTACCTACTGGCTTGGGGAAGGGAAGGCCATGGGTAGAGGTCAGGGAAGAAGAAGAAGACAGCACACAACTCACAGATTAAAGTCCTCATTCTACAGGTCTTGGATGTCTGATCTCACTCACGAGTACAGGAGATTAAACAATAAATACAGCAGAATTATGGATGAAAAAGGAAGTACATATTAGATTAGTCACTTTTCTTACAGCCATGACAAAATACCTGACAGAAACAGTCTACAGGAGGAAGCGTTTATTTTGCTCAGAGTTTCAGAGGTATCAGTCCATCATGGCAGAAAGAACATCCCAGAGCAGAACAGCTCGTGTCACAGGAGCCAAGAAGCAGAGAGAAAAGAACGCCAGTGCCCACAAGCTCTCTCCTTTTCCTCGTTTTATTCTATCAGCCGCTATTGGCTGACGGAATAAATGATAGAATGTGGTGCTTCCCACATTCAGAATCAAGTCTTCCCTTCCCTTCTTAGTTGATCCTCTTTGGGAAGATCCTGACAGACTCACCTAGACGTGTGCTTGCTTGCTTGCTTTTTTTTTTTTTTTTTTTGGTTGAGAGGTTTGAATTCTGGGCCTGGGCACTGTCCCTGAGCTCTTCAGTTCAAGGAGTGTGCTCTGTGCTCTACCACTTAAGCCACAGCACCACTTCCAGCTTTATGGTAGTTAATTGGAGATAAGATTCTCATGGACTTTCCTGCCCAGGCTGGCTTTGAACTACAATCCTCAGATCTCAGCCTCTTGAGTAGTTAGGATTATTGGCATAAGACACCAGTGCCCGGCAAGTGTGCTGTCTTAATTCCCTAAGCTTCTCTCAATATAAATTGAGAATCAAGTAAACCTCACAAAATGCTAATGTTAAAAGCAATACCACGTGAATTTTTTAAAAAATCAATACCATACGATGTTCATGCTATTCTACTGCCTTGGGGAACATTATACCTTCAGACAAGTCATGAGGACATCTTGCCACTTCTCGGCGTCTTGTTAGAATTACCTGTCTCCTCTGATATGAAGAAGTCATTCCTGTGCTTCCTAGCTGATGGAGGCAGGGACTGACTGACTGAGACCCAGGGCCTTGAATTATGATCTGGGGGCTGCAAATGAGTGACCATTGGGGAGGTGGAGAGGCCTAAAGAGAGTCTCTCAGGAAGAGCAGAAAGGCATGGAGCCACATGTAAATCTATCTCATCTCTCTCTTCTTCTGCCATTCTCAGATTCAAGACATTGTTGTCCAAACTCAAGAAGGTCGTGAGACACGCTCAGCCAAGGATGCGTTGCTCTTGTGGTGCCAGATGAAGACAGCAGGGTGTGTATGCCTGGGAAGCCTGCCGTGTCCACATTCACCAGCAGCCCCGTGCTATCTGCAGGGACTGACATCCCCAAGGGCACTGGACATCACCATCCACAGCTATGGCAGGGTCAACATAATGGTTATAATTCTATTCTGCCCCCGTTGTTTGAAGTCGGAATATAAGATTCTAGACTGGCTAGACTGGGTCTTGTCAGTGTGTGTATGGGCCACAGCTTAAGGGGGCATCTTTGTATTAATTAGCTATGACCCCCTATGTTGAAACAGCTCAAGAGACACGTCCATTTCTTTCCTGATATCTTAACCATCAATTCATACACTTGTGTCACCTCAAAAGGATCTATTTCTGAGTGTGTATGTGTGTGTGTGTGTGTGTGTGTGTGTGCACATGTGTGCGCATGCATGTGTGCTGGTCCTGGGGCTTGAACTCAGGCCTGGGCACTGGCCCTGAATTTCTTCTGCTCAAAGCTAGTACTCTAGCACTTATGCCACAGCTCTACTTCTGGCTTTTTTTTTTGAGGGAGGGTAACTTTATTGGAGATAAGAATCTCACAGACTTTCTGCCCAGGCTGGCTTTGAACTAAGATCCTTAGATCTCAGCCTCCTTATCTCAGCTGGAATTATAAGGTTGAGCCATCAATGCCCAGCTTTCTTTCCTTTTCTTTCTCTTAACTTCTTTCCCCTCCCCTCTCTCTTTCTTTTGTGGTAATGAACTCAGGGCCTCATGTTGGTTATTCTAGTATTCTACCACTTGAGCCATGCCTCCAGCCCTGCTTTATGCTGGTTAATTAGAGATGGAGTCTAGCAAACGTTTCTGCCCAAGCTGCCCTCAAACTGTGATCCTCCAGATCTCAGCCTCCTGAATAGCTAGGGTTATTCAAAAGAATCTTTTCTTAAATCTTTATGTTTGTCTTGGATACAGCTACCCTCATGTCAATGTCACCAACTTCACCTCCAGCTGGAAGGATGGCCTGGCCTTTAATGCCCTGATACATAAGCACCGGTAAGAGCAAGAGGAGGACCCTGGGAACTGATGGGTATTTGGGAACCATGGGAATGGTACCCCTCCTGTCTCTTCCCTGTTTACCCTTGACTTCCCCCAGTGGCCCTGCCTTCTTTAAGCTCAGTCACACCTGTTCCTTCCTTCCAAGATGGTGCCCATAGCTAGCCCCTCTTCTTTGCTCCTGTCTCTCAGTTCTCTTGTCTGTCCATTTCTCTGTATTGCCTAGAGTCCTTGCTGCATGCTGGGCAACTTTAGAGGCGGGGCTACCATGGCCACTCCCTTTTAACAGTCCAGCTTTGCCCCTAGGCCTGACCTGATTGACTTTGACAAGCTGAAGGATTCCAATGCCCGGCATAACCTAGAGCATGCATTTGATGTGGCTGAGCGCCAGCTGGGCATCATCCCGCTCCTCGACCCAGAGGGTGAGTCACTCCCACCTTGCTACTCCAGAGGAAGACATTCCTGGAATTGTCCAGGACAACAGGATTGTTCTTCCAGGCTTGTCCAGGTGCCTGGTGAACAATTTGCACAGAGAGGGACAGGGCCAGGACAGAGCTCTGTGATGAGCTTGTTGCTCTGCTCCAAGTGGATTCCCCTCACCTCACCTGGCCTGGCTCCCTTAGACTTTGAAGCCTTCTTCTTTCTGCTTCTGTAAAATGAAGTCCTAATATGGATGTCATCAGTTTAAAGTCGTAGGCCTTTCACTCCTCCGTTCTTGACCCATTGGTTGTCACTTGGTGCCTGTGGTTGGACTTCAGGTTGGAGGAACTGCTGCTAAGCCCTGGAAAGCTAAGCTTTCTGGCTTCTGATGAGGCACTGAGGATATACCTTTCCCTTACAGATGTCTTCACTGAGAACCCTGATGAGAAGTCCATCATCACCTACGTGGTAGCGTTTTACCACTACTTCTCTAAGATGAAGGTGCTGGCAGTGGAGGGCAAGCGTGTGGGCAAGGTACCGTGCTATTTATCCACACTGTATCATCCTCTTCCTACCTTCCATTCCTGTGATGGACTGTGAGGCTCCCAGTCCATCCCAAGAGCTTCGTGTTTGGAATCCCAGCTGCAGTGAGGGTACAGAATACTTGGACCTCATTTCTTCTAAAGCTTCCTGGAAAGTCAGCCTTCGAGCTACCTCCAAAGGAGCAGGTCCACATCTGTCCTGCAAGGATCTATATAGCCTGAAGTTCTAAGCCTGCCCTCTACCTGGCGTCCCGCTTCCCACAAACATTCCCAGGGGAACCATTGCAGGCCCTTATTTGTTTTGCTTGTCATGGCTCTACCTCACAATATACTAGGAACCCAGCTCTCTGTATAGAGCCCCATGTCTCATTCCATTATCTCTTGTAGGGTAGGAACAATTCCTCATTCATCTTTGAATGTAACAGCCCTGTGATTAACAAAAACAAGGCCTGGCTGCCCTCCATGCCTAATCAACAGTTGAAACTAGGGCCTGATATGCAGCTTACGTGGTAGAACACCTGCCTAACAAGCATGAAGCCCTGAGTTAAAACCCCAGTAGAGCAGTAAAGAGAAGAAAATTAAAAAGAAACCCTGACCCCTCTAGGGCCTAGTATGTTGGTGGTCCCAACACCAGAATAATCTTTTATGCAATTAGGGGAGCATCAGGCTACTCCTGGACCCTAGTTGGGTCAGTGCACGAGAAGGGCTTCATCTGAGCATGATGACACATGCCTATAATCCCAGAACTCAAGATGCTTAGGCAGAAAGATCACAAGTTCCTGGCAAGCCTGGGCTACATATAGCAAGACCCAGTTGCCCTACCCCCACAACAAGAAGGAAGAGGAAGGCTTCACCTACTGCAGTACACCTCTTCTACCTGGGCACCAGTCTGGGCCTGGAAGGATTAACTCAACCTAGAGCACTCCAGAGCTTGCGGGGTGGGAGCCGCACTTCGGGGCACCTTGGTTGTGGTTCTTGGAGGTGGCCTCTTTGGTGGCATTACCCTTGTGATGAGAATGAGTAATAAGGTGATTCCTTAGGTCATTGACCACGCCATCGAGACTGAGAAGATGATTGAAAAGTACAGTGGACTAGCCTCAGACCTGCTCACCTGGATCGAACAGACCATCAGCGTCCTGAACAGCCGCAAGTTTGCCAACTCGTTGACTGGTGTCCAGCAGCAGCTACAGGCCTTCAGCACTTACCGCACTGTGGAGAAGCCACCTAAGTAAGTGGGGCTCATCAGGAGCTGAGAAGCCAACTGCCCAGAGGTAGAGCCAGACTCTGGGCATCATGAAGTGTTTCCACAAGGCAGTCTTGAGGCTCCAGAGCCACACATCTGTCGTCTGCTTCACGCTTTTCTTGGCCACTCTCCTGCTATCAGCTTTTAGGAAACAGTTGCTGATGTGAAATCCTGACTCAGAGCCAAAGAAAGTGCTTTTCTTGACCCCCGAGGAAGAGTGGGTAGGGAGATCTGGATTGTGAGTCTCTTTGGAGAGCCCATGTTGAAGATCTCCTCTCTTGGTCTGTTCCCTGAGCTATGGTTGTTTTCTGGTGATGACCTTGATATTCTTTAGCTGTGTGAGACCTTGAAATCTTTTTCTCTCTCATCTGTCACTGCTCACCAGAAGAGCTCTACGCCTGTTTCTCAAACTCTCTATAACCCCACCACATGCATGTACATACAGCCATTCACACAAAACCATGCATACACATGTGTATATGTGCATGCATATAATCACACGCAGTTATGCAGATATACACTTCCATGCATGTATTCACAATCGTGTACAAATGCAACACATGGGCACCTGTACACAAACACATGCACATACACAACCACACATGCATGGGTGTGCACATAGTTTATTCATGCACATGCACACACAACTATGAAAGCATATGCATGAATGCATTCACAAACATGCACACGTATACAAGCATGTACATACACATACATATCAGGCTTCCTAGATTGTCTGCCTTTAGCTTAGTCAGCTTTCTTGAAAGAGGTTTTCACCCATCCATCCCTCACACTCTCCAATCAAAGCATTCAAATGTGGGAAGGTAAGACACTGAGTCTAGGATGCACTATAAATCTGTATCTAGTTTCTGGCTTAACACTAACCCTCTTTTAAAGTTTTGAATTCAATATAGAGATCATCCCCTGTGAATCTGCCAGGCACTATATGCAAGCTAGCAGATGGACCTTGAGGGTTTCAACCTTCTTCAGTACCTGTGAGTGCTGCAAGGAGACTGGCTGGGCTACAGGTGGAGACATTGCTCATCATTAATCCCCATCTGTCACATCTAGTGTGTAAAAGCAAATGGAATGTTGAATGCATGAAGAAATATGAACAGACCCAGTTACCTGGAGCTTGCCTTTTTCCACCGACAATCCTTCAAGAGGCCAGTCTTTCCTGACCCCTGGGAAACATGTGGCCTATAGAACTTGGGAGGAGAGTCCATTTAGTAGAATTGGGATGAAAATTGCTTTCAGTGCAACATGTTCTTTTGCAGATAATGCTGCTTCTAAGTTTTTACCGGTTCAATAAAAAACCGTCTGAAAAGCTAGTCAGAAGCCTTCATCGCCTACAGAAGAGGGAAGGATTTCTTTGTATTGATTGGCAAAACTCAATAGTTGCAACTCCTTACCAGAATACTCTAGTCAGCTATTCTCCTATAGAAGCAAATGTTAAGTACACCTATGTTCTCTGATTTGAGTTGTAAAGACACAAATTATGAGGCCTTTGTGGGTGAGAATGGTAAATAGGTTAACCAGTAAGCAGAGGTATCCCTTCTCTTCATTTTTCTTTGTTGTCAAGAAAAATATGCTTTGTTCTTCAAGATCCAGGATGTCAGGGCTTCCAGGTTGTGGACCTCTCAACACTAACCTCCCTTCCTCTGCTTTCTCCACAGATTTCAGGAAAAGGGGAATCTGGAAGTTCTACTCTTTACTATCCAGTCCCGGATGAGAGCCAACAATCAAAAAGTGTACACGCCCCATGATGGGAAGCTAGTATCTGACATCAATCGGGTACTGTAGCAGTTCCCCTTCTGCATCACCATATTCTTAATGTTATTAACACGTTATTAATTAACCTATTATGTGTTAGCTATTTGGGATTCTGAGAGGTCAGACTCTGCCCACCATACTTCATTTCAGTTCTCTCTCCAGACATACCCTGAGATATTCTTTGGAACTTGTTTTATAGCCTGTCCTCTATAGAACCTTGATTTTGTCTTTGGATCTAGAATATGAGTTAATTATTACAGAAGGGAAATACCTTATGATGTTTCAGAGGCTTGGAGACTTAATACCATCTGGAAGCTTTAATAGAATATAGATGGCCATGCATCAGTAAGAATTCATTGAGTTCCCAGAGAGGCAAGTGTAGGAGAAGATGTAGGGGAGATCGTGACCAGGGCCCTCCACTCTTGGTTGTTCTAGACATGAAGGCAGAGGACCACCTCACCCAAGAACATTGGCCTTGATTCCTCAAATCACTGAATGTCAAGTGAAAAATGGATAGACACACACACACATACACACACACACACACACACACACACATGTTTCTTCTGTGCCCCAAGAATTCTCCTCTGCCCTGTGCAGGCCTGGGAGAGCCTGGAGGAGGCCGAGTACCAGCGGGAGTTGGCCCTGAGGAGCGAGCTCATTAGACAGGAGAAACTGGAGCAGCTGGCACGGCGCTTTGACAGAAAGGCCGCCATGAGAGAGACGTGGCTCAATGAAAACCAACGCCTTGTGACTCAGGTACTGGGGATGGCAGGAGAGGGAAAGTGCTTCTCATCCCCCAGCTCTCCACAGAGCGGAAGCTGGCTTCCCAACAGCAGCTGGATAAGCCTGTCCTTGGCCTCGGCCTTGCTCCCCATGATTGACTGGATCTAGATTTGCATCTGAAGACAAACTCTTGAGGATTATCTCTCTTCCCTCCCCCCTTTTCTTCTCCCTCTCTCCCTCTCCCTCCCTTCCCTTCTCCCTCTTCCCTCTCTCTCTCTGTTTCTCTTTCACACATATTCACACATGCTGATGCTCATGTCATGATGGCTTTGTACACACTAGGCAGGCACTCTACTGAGCTACACTCTCAACACACATTCATTAGGTCTCCATTTTAGGAAAAAGTTCCAAGTCCAGAACAGGCCTCTAAAGTTGTCTTACCTGGGCCATAGCATCTCTGAGAGAACAGGTCATGGTTGACATTAAATGTCAGTTCTCTAGGAACAGGCTGACGCCAGAGTACACCTGTGTGTGTATCAGTCTGTGTGCTCTCTGGCCTCCAGGCCTGGGACATATTTCACTGGCTAGGAATGGACCCTAAGGCTGACTCTATCACAGCATCTGTTCCCTCCAACTAAGAGTTTGAAATCAAATTAAATTCTGATCAGAAAGAGGCCAGCAAGTGCTCTGAGAGCGCTGGAGAATGTGTGTGTGCCCCAGATAGCATGTGGGCAAACCATCTGTCTGCAGCTGCGTGGCTTCTGAGCACAAGCAGCCCCTCCTGCCCAGAACTGGACAACAGTGCGGGGAGGATGATTGGACAGTCACAGGACGCTGCCAGTAACAAATGCACAGTGTCACCTGCAAGGATGGCATGGGGTATAAAACAGGGGCTGCTTTTAGAGATTCTTGTGTCACATTTAGGCTTTGAAACCCGGCTCTGAGAAGATCAGGCAGGGAGGAAACATAAGAACCAGCTCCTTTCTGAGCTTGGCACCACTGCTGCGTCCATCTGGGGAGGAGTATGGGGCTGTTTGAGTGAGCTGCTGAGTTTTCTCCCACGGGACAGGATAACTTCGGATACGACCTGGCAGCTGTGGAGGCCGCCAAGAAGAAGCACGAGGCCATCGAGACGGACACTGCTGCCTATGAGGAACGGGTGAAAGCCCTGGAGGACCTGGCCCAGGAGCTCGAAAAGGAAAATTACCATGACCAGAAACGCATCATGGCCCGGAAGGACAACATCCTGCGCCTGTGGAGCTACCTGCAGGAGCTGCTGCGGTCCCGGCGCCAGAGACTGGAGGCCACCCTGGCACTGCAGAAGCTCTTCCAAGACATGCTACACAGCATCGACTGGATGGACGAGATCAAGGTGGGCCCTGGAGCCTGCCCCATACCCTTCCTTGCACTTCACATGAGCTCTAATAGACACAAGCCTAGGACCATGATATCCCCAATGGCCAAGAAATCTTGGGTTCATGGTTGCGCAAGCACCAACTTAGAGGATCCTGAAGACACAGTGTTAATCATGAGCCTGGATAATCAGATTCTCAGTAATTGCAATTTAACTCTGCTTACACCTCGCAGCATAGAACAACCACAGAAATCAAAATTCTCTCCTTCTCCTGCCGTGGTCCTCCACTGAGGATACACAGGAAAATGACCACAGATCTTCTAAAAGGACATGTGTCCAAGCCAAAGCCTGTAGACAGAGGTAGTAGATGAATGTGAGTCTCAAGCTTCTGTAGAATGCCCCATGGATCTTTCCAGTAGGCAGTTCCTATAGGAAATCCTGCTCTGTAGCTTCTTCCATCCCAAGTGGCAGCCTTATTTTGGCTGTACCTGAGACACAGACACACCCTTTGAGGGGGTCTCTGCTCATCACTTACCCTTGTTCCCTCTACTTTGTCCTTTTCCAGGCTCACCTCTTGTCTGCTGAGTTTGGGAAGCACCTGTTGGAGGTTGAGGACTTGCTACAGAAGCACAAGTTGATGGAGGCTGACATTGCCATCCAAGGGGACAAAGTGAAGTCCATCACAGCAGCCACCCTGCAGTTTGCTGAGGGGAAAGGTGAGGCCAAGCGTGTCTCCTCTGTTGGCTTCTCTAATACCAGGGTCCCCATCCTCTGGACTGACATCCCTAAATCTCTTGGGATCCCTCCAGCTCTAGCTTTCTGTGGCAGTCACTAAAGCTACCTTTAGAATTTTGCCTCTTTGATCAAGTAATGGTGATGCGATAGCTTTCCAGTGAGCAGGCAGGTACTGTGGTAATCTACACTCAGGAAGGTGTTTTAGGCACCAATAAAACATCTGCCATTTTTTCTTTCTCTTTTCTCCCTCAAGCTATGGCTGAGACTGCTCACGTGTTTAGTTTCTGATCTTAAATAGAAAACCTTGCTGCCTCCTTGAAACTTATATTTGAGCTTTCACAAGCTAAAATCATGCACGTTTCTACTGCGAACAGACTCAACTTTTAACCTCCAGTGTTACTAAAGTTTAATGGGTATCAGTCTGGTCTAGGACTTGTTGTGGTGACATGTGCCTGTAATCACAGTGTGGGGTCAGGCCTAGCAAAAGTACAAGACCCTGTCTAAAACACTAGCTATAAGCAAAAACACCAGGGCATGGCTTAATTGGTAGAGCACTTGGGGCTGGGAAGGTAGCTCAGCGGTAGAGTGCATGTCTTGCAAGCATGAGGCCCTGGGTTCGATTCCTCAGCACCACATAAACAGAAAAAGCCGGAAGTGGCGCTGTGGCTCCAGTGGTAGAGCACTAGCCTTGAGCTGAAGAGCTGAGGGACAGCGCCCAGGCCCAGAGTTCAGGCCCCATGACCGGCAAAAAAAAAAAAAAAAAAAAATTGGTAGAGCACTTGCTTAGCATGCCCAGTAATAAAGAGGGAAGTGGGGGGAGAATTTGGTCTAACATCAGAGTAACTGTGAACCCTGGCATCCAACCCCAAAGGCTTCATAAAATGGCAGCTTTGAGACTATTTTAGACCAAATTGTCCATGAACGAAGCCCTTCCCTTCTGTATCCTCCCCTGCCTGTTCCTCTAGGGTACCAGCCTTGCGATCCTCAGGTCATCCAGGACCGTGTCAGCCACCTGGAACAGTGCTTCGGGGAGCTGAGTGACATGGCAGCTGGGCGGAAGGCTCAGCTGGAGCAGTCCAAGCGACTCTGGAAGTTCTTCTGGGAAATGGATGAAGCTGAAAGCTGGATCAAGGAAAAGGAGCAGATCTACTCCTCACTCGACTATGGCAAGGACCTGACCAGCGTACTTATCTTGCAGCGCAAGCACAAGGCCTTTGAGGATGAGCTCCGCGGGCTGGATGCCCACCTGGCTCAGATCTTCCAGGAGGCTGAGGGCATGGTTGCACGCAAGCAGTTTGGGTACCCTCAGATCCAGGCCCGAGTCAAGGAGGTGTCAGCCCAATGGGACCAGCTGAAGGAGTTGGCTGCCTTTCGTAAGAAGAACCTCCAGGATGCAGAGAACTTCTTCCAGTTCCAGGGCGATGCAGATGACCTGAAGGCCTGGCTACAAGATGCACACCGGCTACTCTTGGGTGACGATGTAGGGCAGGATGAAGGGGCCACGCGGGCCCTGGGGAAGAAGCATAAGGACTTCCTGGAGGAGCTGGAGGAGAGCCATGGGGTGATGGAGCACTTGGAACAGCAGGCACAGGGCTTCCCCCAAGAATTCCGGGATTCACCAGATGTGACCAGCCGGTTGCAGGCCCTTCAGGAGCTCTACCAGCGGGTGGTCACCCAGGCAGATTTGCGTGGGCAGAAGCTGCAGGAGGCGCTGGACCTGTACACGGTGTTCGGGGAATCAGATGCCTGTGAGCTGTGGATGAGTGAGAAGGAGAAGTGGCTGGACCAGATGGAAATCCCAGACACCCTAGAGGACCTGGAGGTCGTGCAGCACAGGTCAGAGTGCTCAGCCTCTGCCCCTCAGCTCACTCCCTACCCAAGGGCTCATTGCTATTTGCTACCTCTAGACCAGCAGGGATCTCCATGAGAGGTGCAGAATGTCCTTGGTTGTAAAGTTCAGGTATCCAGCATCCTGAGTTTTGTTCTAGCTCTGTGGCCCTCGGTACTTCACCTGAACACTGAGGATTTCCTAGTCCCGTTATTCACACAGTTACAGCAGCCTGTGCTCAAGTGAATTCTGTCTGGAACCCCACACAACACAGAGGGGAAGTGTGACTGCTCTGGATGACAGGGCTGAGATGTGGGGAGCCCACCAGCTCTAGATTTCTACACAGTCACTAAGTCATAGACTTCCAAGGAGCCACAGAGGCCAGTTTAGAAGCCACCTGCCTGCAAGGCCACTCACTTCCAGGGTTCTCATTCCCACACCCTGGATGGAGAGTGTACTCAGGCTATGTGCAGCATCAGCAAACCAAGCACAAAATCCAGGGACAGAGGAGGATGAGAGGCTGCTCCCTGGAGCAGTGCCAGGATGGCCCTGCACAGATGCTGAAGGGAGCTGGGCCCTTACCTGAGGGCAGCCCTTATAATCACAAAGCCCTTCTCCTATCAGCAGCTGTCTGGATTGGAGCACCTGACTGGGGAGGGGATCAACTGGTCAAGGCAGTGGGCTCAGGGTGGAGAAAGAAGCAGCTGGGACTGTGAAGAAGTGACAGATAGATTCCAGGATAATGCAGTAGCACACCCAAGCTGGTATACATGCGTTACAGTTCTTCCCCTCACACCTCTCTGTGGAGCCAGAAGCCTGTCTAGTAAGTTACCAGCCCCCTCCCCAACTAGTCCCGAGAAATACTAAACCAAGTAAGAAAATAAGGTGTGTCAGCATATCTGCCTCCCTCTCCCCACTTGCAGACAAATGTGTTCAGGAGGTAGGAGAGCCCAAGAGCAGCACATTTGGAGATGGAGGCCATTGGCATTGAGGTATGAGGCCACTGGCATTGTGAGTACTGCCCTCTCATCGCTCCTGGTTTGTCCATATCAGGTTCGACATCCTGGACCAGGAGATGAAGACGCTGATAGCTCAGATCGATGGGGTGAACCTCGCCGCCAACAACCTGGTCGAGAGTGGCCACCCACGCAGCGGGGAAGTGAAACAGTACCAGGACCGCCTGAACAAGAGGTGGGGTATGGTTGGGCTTAGGCTGGGGAACTTTCCTCCCCAGTAACTGACACACTCCTGGCAGAGCGGGGTGGGGAAGAAGGGGAGCATGATCTAACTTCAAGCTACTATGTACCACCACCTTTGCACCCCCAATGTTCCTTTCTTAATCAGTTTACTCCTAGGATTGAGGGAGGCTCTAGGAGGAAAGAGAAAACTCTTATGTGGTGAGCCACAGGGTGAACAAGCAGGGAGAGAGATGTGTTGGGGAGGAGGAGATCCATACACAGGTGATAAGGGGGACATTCTGAGTGTTGTCTGTCCATAGATCAGGCCATGTGGTCCTCATGCCTTATTTCCCCAGACATTCCTAAACAGGGAAAATTGCTGTCTGAGAGCTCTTAAGTACAGTCCATAAAAGAATGTTCTTGCCTGTGCCAAAATGCAGCATCGATAATAAGGCTGGCTTGAATGAAGAGGAGTATTAGCAGGGAGCCTTGAGCAAGCTTCATGGTTGAAAAAAAAAACAGGCCCTAAAGAGCCTTTAGAGAGAGAGGAGCTGCTTTCGCTGCAGGGCATAATTGCCCATTCGTTCCTGGAGGATTTTTAAGGACAGAGCACTCCTGTTTTTATACAGGGCCCTGGCGTGTGCAAGTCCACATGCCCACCACCTACTCGTTACTCTGGCCTCTTCCTCACACTTGCTCTTGAGTCTTGCTCTGCCTGAGGCAGTCTGAGAGGTGGGCTCGGGGAAGACTCAGCTATAAAGAAATGGCTCAGTACAGTAGAGACTGCTAAGGTCGATGGGGAGTCCCGTGGGATACTTCAGAGCCACTAGGTTGGAGCCAGTGTCACAACATCCAAAGATGCTTTGTAACACCACATTTTGATATTTATACAGAGAGGAGGAGCCTCTTCACTCTTAATTAGGTATAGAGAGTATGTGTGTATGTATGAGAGAGAAAAATGATGCACAGTTGCTGATAACCTTAAAAAAATTTTAATCAAGCAATTTAAACCAGAGAAACTTCCCAAAAGAAAGTTTCAGCCAGCCGGGTGCCAGTGGCTCACGCCTGTAAACCTAGCTACTCAGGAGGCTGAGATCTGAGGGTCACGGTTCAAAACCAGTCCCTGCAGGAAAGTCCGTGCATATGGTATAGCTGCTACTCCTAGAGCTGTGGTGAACAAAGCAACACAAGATTAGGCAGGACATGTCTCTAGCTCAGTGGTAGAAGATGTATAGTATGCATGCACAAGGCCCTGAGTTCAGTCTTCACAGAGAGAGAGAGAGACAGAGACAGAAACAGAGAGAAGTCCTGCAAGATTAAATCAATCACAAGGGAAAATGATGCCATCAAGAGACAGGCTAACCATGAAATGTAAGACGTCACTGCCAGATAACACACTGTTTCACCGTAAAATTTTATTGAGGGGAGCAGTAGGGTTTGAACTCAGGAGTTCAAGCTCACTAGGCAGATCCTCTACTGCTGAGCCACACCTCCAGACCTGCTTTGTTCTGGTTATTTTTGAGATGGGTCTCACTTCCTGCCAGGGCATGCTTGTAAACCTCAATCTACCTATATTTTAGGCTCCCATCATTGCTGGCATGACAGGTTCGCACAGCCCTGTCCAGCTATGGGTTGAGAAGGGAGTCTCCTGAACTTTTCTACCTGAGATTTACTTGAACCGTAATCCTCCCATGCTCAGCACCTCAAGTACTACGATTACAGGTGTGCGCCTCTGGTAACTGTCAATATATAAGTAGGAGTACAGTAAACATGACATAATAAATACACAAACCAGGCTTGGAAGGTGGCTTAGAGGTAGAATGCTTGCCTAGCATGCATGAAGCCCTGGGTTCGATTTCTTAGTAACATATAAACAGAAAAAGCCAGAGGTGGCTCTGTTGCTCAAGTGGTAAAGCACGAGTCTTAAGCAAAAGAAGCTCAGGGACCTGAAGCTCCCAGGCCCTGAGTTCAAGCCCCATGACTGGCAAAAAATAAGTAAGTAAATAATAAATACACACAAACCAATAATATGCTCATTTATTATCAAGTATTATATGATATGCCTGATTATATGTACTGTACTTTATACAACTGACATACAATAGGCTTGTTTACATCAGCCTCACCACAAACATTGGTATAAACTGCTGTGCTATGACTTATTGAAGGCTGCAGCATCTCTAGGTGACAGGAATTTCATAGGTCCATAATAATCTTATGGGATCACTGTCGTATGTGTGACCCTTTGTTATGTGGTGAGTGATGAGAAGACAGCTTTACTTTTCCAATAGGTATGTGAAGAGCTAGGACTCTCAGTATTGCCCACAATGCTCTGTACACCAAGCACACTCTGGTCTGAGGTTCTCTCTGATATCCACTTGGCTCACTGCCTTACTTTATCCAGGCCTGAGTTCACATGTAGCCATTAGAGTGGCCCTCATGAACCTCATTCCTGAAAGAAGCTCATCCTCTGCTCACCAGCCTCCTAACCTCTATCCTGTTTCCTTGCTTTATTTTTTTTTGCACTTCTCTCTATGTAATGGAGTGCAGGTGCATTCATTTGCCTCTGCCATCTTGAATGAAGATGAAGATTGCTTTGTCCTTTGCCATATCCCCAGGGCCCAGGTCAGGGTCCTGCCAGGCAGGTTGCCTAACACATGCTTAACGGGCACCAAAATCAGTGTGTCTGCCAACTTGGCACATGTGAGTCATTCAGATTCAACATGACTCGTGTTGAGTGGGTGATAGCCTTTCACCGTATACATTCCAGTTATCCAATATTTTTCTACATGTCTTGGGCTTAGAGTCAGGCCTGGCCTTCTGAGGCTATCTGCTAACTAGAGTGACTGCCGTCTTCCCCCTGCTTGGAAACGGAGCCCCTGTAGAAGTGGGGAGTTGGAGGGCCATGCCCTTCCCCGCTGTGGCCTCTACTTGGGGGCTACAGTGAAACCACAGAGGAAAGACTTGGGGAATATCACCATGGGGCCTTTAAGCTAGGGGTCACAGCAGATCGATTTGTACCTCACTGTCAGCTCAGTGTGGTTTTAGATCAACATGCAGAAAGCCTTCAGCTCCTGACCCTGACTTCCCAGCCTCAGAGCAACATCTGTGTGCCAAGCACAGGATTCTCAAAGCATAAGATCTCTATCTAGTGGAGACACTGAAGGTATAGCAGCAGTATCTTATATGTGACGTAGTCTTCTGACATAGTCTTAACTATATGTACATAGTCTTAGAATTATGTGAGAGTGTGTTTTTTGTTTTTGAGACAAGATATTGCTGCATACACCAGCCTAGCTTCACACTTGTGATCCTTTTGTCTCAATTTTTTAAGGCATGGCCCACCTTGCCCAGCTATGTGCTTATCTTCTCTACATCATCTACTCCACTGGGCAAGATTTGGTTTTATCTGTATTCTCCCAATATAATGCCTTAGACCCTTGTGGCTATTCAACAGAGATGTGTTCAATAAATGAGCATTTGACTTAAAGCTTATATATTATAATGATGCAGAATGGGTAAACCTGAGCCTAAGGGAACTGTCTGATGGTCTGGCCTTCAGAGAGGTTTATTGTGTGCTTCAGACCAACCCTAGGCCCAAGGACATCTGATAGACCTTAATGTATTTCTGTCTCATAGCAACACTATACTTGAAGGCTTAGATTATAACCCACTTTAATTATCATCCCAGCTAGTATCTTCTTCTCTCTCCTCCTTCTCTTCTCTTCTTCCTCTTCTTTTCTCTCCTCTCTTTAACAAGCCTCTTTCTTTTAGGCCTAAGGTGAGGATTATTTTGTTGTCTGGCCACAGAAGCACTTTGACTGTAGTCTTGGGCATTTGCAAAATTCATCTAGAGCATCTAGGGACTCTACATCCTGAAGTGTTCTTAAAGTTAATAATGTTAGATTTCTGACTATTTTTGATGTTACTGAAACCCTGAGTTATTCCTTGATTTATAATGAAGTTGTATATCCTGATAAGCCTATTGTAGGTTGATGGTATCCTAAGTAGAAAATTCACTTTTGATCAGGCATGGTGACATCAGTCTCTCTGTTACCTGATTCTTGAGCCCAGAAATTGAAGACCAGTTTGGGCTCAAAAAAAAATAAACAAGAACTGGGAAGGTAGCTCAGCGGTAGAGTGCTTGCCTCACATGCATGAGGCTCTGGGTTTGATTCCTCAGCACCACAGAAGCAGAAAAGGCCAGAAGTGGTGCTGTGGCTCAAGTGGTAGAGCGCTAGCCTTGAGCTGAAGAGCTGAGGGACAGCACCCAGGCCCAGAGCTCAGGCCCCATGACCAACAACAACAACAACAAAAAATATATATATATACATACATATATATATATATATATATATATATATATATATATATATATATATATATATATATATATATATATATACCTGATCTGCTGACGGAAAGCTGCAGTCCCTGCCACTTCCCAGCAACAACCTAGGTAATTTCCTACCTTAGATGTTAGCCAGGAAAAGATCAAAATTCAAAGTGCAGTTTCTACTGATACTGCATTTGCATCTTTGAAAAGATGAACCATGCCCAGAATGGTAATGCTCATCTGTAATACCAGCTACCCAGGAGACAGATAGGAGGATCATAGTCCAAAACCAGCACAGACAAAAGCACAAGGCCTTATCTGAAACCACAAACCTCTGGGGATGTGGCGTAAGTGGTAGATTCATTACCTAGTAAGCACAGTACCCTGAGTTCAAACCCCAGTAGTGCCCCCCAAAATCTCAAATCCTTATAAATCCAAGACTATTCATATTTGCCTGAAATCCAGATGCATGCAGAGCCTTTGTTTTCATGTTCCCTTAAGGAAGACTGGGGTCACATCACTGCTTACCTTCTGCTGATTGGGAGATCTGATTGTCACATGTGTCTTGGATAAAAGTGGACAAATGAATTTTACTAAGCAACAGTTTTATTTTGTATCTGTGGGAGAGAGCTATGGGAATTGGGGGACCAGAGGCTCTGTGAAAGCTTAGGAACAAGGTATCCATTTCCCCCTTGGAGACCACATCCCTCCTCGGCAGGTGGCAGGCATTCCAGAGTGTGGTGTCCAATCGGAGAGAGGCTGTGGACTCAGCCCTTCGAGTACACAACTACTGTGTTGACTGTGAGGAGACCAGCAAGTGGATCATGGATAAGACAAGAGTCGTGGAGTCTACCAAGGACTTGGGGCAGGACCTGGCAGGTGTCATTGCCATCCAGCGGAAGCTGTCAGGGCTAGAGCGGGATGTGTTTGCCATCCGGGATCGAGTAGGTGCCCTGGAGCGTGAATCGCAGCAGCTCATGGAGTCACACCCTGAGCAGAAGGAGGACATTGGCCAGAGGCAGGCAGATGTTGAGAAGCTGTGGAAGGGCCTACAAGACGCTCTGCAGGGCCAGGAGCTCTCCTTGGGTGAAGCCAGCAAGCTGCAGGCCTTCCTGCAAGATCTGGATGACTTCCAGGCCTGGCTGTCCATGGCCCAGAAGGCTGTGGCCTCTGAGGACATGCCTGAGTCACTCCCAGAAGCCGAGCAGCAACTGCAGCAGCACGCAGCCATCAAGGATGAGATTGACGGGCACCAAGAGAGCTATCAGAAAGTCAAGGCCTCTGGAGAGAAGGTGATCGAAGGCCAGAAGGACCCAGAATACCAGCTTCTGGGCCAGAGGCTAGAGGGCCTGGGTTCTGGCTGGGATGCCCTGCGCCGGATGTGGGAGAGCCGAGGCCACTCCCTTGCCCAGTGCCTCGGTTTCCAGGAGTTCCAGAAGGATGCTAAGCAGGCTGAAGCCATCCTCAGCAATCAGGTAAGGAGAGGCAAACAGGGGTGGGTCATGGCACTCTTGCAGCTGCAGCAAAAGCGGTAAGTCTGCGAATGAGCTGTCATTAGTTGGAGGGAATCCCCTGTCTTCCTCATCATGGGCCCTTTCCATTCCCATCTGTCCAACTCTACCATGTCCTTGGGGTGGTCAGAAGTTTGGGAAGTTCATTTTGCCCTTGGCAACTTTAGACACAATGTCTTGGACACCCTAGGGTAGAGTGAAGGCCAAGCGTGGGGAGTACAGCCAGTTCACACTGTAGGCTGTATTAACAACATGTGGTATTCCTGCCTGGCAAGTGCCCTTAACCAGCTGCTTGTCTTGTCTTCATGCTACATCTGCTTCCACAGGAGTACACTCTGGCTCACCTGGAGCCCCCAGACTCGCTAGAAGCTGCAGAAGCTGGGATCCGGAAGTTTGAGGATTTCTTATTGTCTATGGAGAACAACCAGGAAAAGGTCTTGAGTCCTGTGGACTCCGGAAACAAGCTGGTAGCTGAGGGAAACCTGTACTCAGACAAGATCAAGGAGAAGGTGCAGCTGATTGAAGACAGGTACTCCCTAACTTTAGAGTCCTGGGGCCCCCTACTCATAAGGGTTGGAGGTGCTGAGCAGTGATCCAGGTTCAGCACTATTTTTTATTGTTGGTGGTGGTGGTCATCATTGTGGGGCTTGAACTCTGGGCCTGGGAGCTGTCCCTCAGCTCTTAAGTTCAAGGCAAGCGCCCTACCACTTGAGCCACAGCACCCCTTCTGGTTTTCTGGTGGTTTTTTTTGGAGATAAGAATCTCACGGACTTTCCTACTCCTGCTGGCTTTGAGCCGTGATCCTCAGATCTCAGCCTCCTGAGTAGCTTGGATTACAGGCATGAGCCACTGGCGCCCAGCAGGTTCAGCACTATTATGACCAGCTTTGGCTTCCTTTCCAGGCATAGAAAGAATAATGAGAAGGCCCAGGAGGCCACGGTTCTTCTAAAAGACAACCTAGAGCTACAGTACTTCCTCCAGAATTGCAAAGAGGTGAGGCCAGGGGGCAGGTACACTTTCCAGGAGGTTCCTGTCTAGCAGCAGAGTGCTTAGAAGGCGGGAGGCCATGGGGACTCATTTTCACTCAAGAGTGATGGGAATTCATAAGTGAGGAACTTTGTTCTCTTTCATTCTTTCTTTCTTCATTCATTTTTACTATCTTGAAGTAGTTGCACAAAGGGCTTTCAATTCAACAGGTTAGTTTATGAGCACAATGCATCAAAATCAATGGCACCCCTTCCGTCATCCTCCCCATCTGCCCCAACTCCTCCAAATCTCCAGTTCCACAGTTCTTTTCCACCCAGCGTTCTCTCCAAATCTGAAAAGTCATCATTTGAGTTGCCAGGTCTAGAACAGGGTTTGTCAAGGGATGTTCTGAGAACTTTATATTAGAATCTCCTTGGCCCTGGGCTGGCCTGGCTGCACAGATGCATGACCTCTGTATTCATCCACACGGTGCTCTGCACTTGGTGGAAGGCCCTGCTGTTGCCATACTTGGGAACATCTTCATTTTGCTCTGTGCCTTGCAAATTGTGAAACAACTCTTGGCCCTAGGTAAAACAACCTGTTGGGCCATACTTAGACACAGACAAATCAGAAGCTTAAGGGGTGAGAGGAAGAAGCACTTTATATGAACTTCTTGGTTGGAAAACTGCAGGCTCAGAAGGCCCTTGCTCATTTGGGACACATCCTATAAGGAAGGTCTTTCACCTGCCTTCCACTGACAGGACTTTCCATGTGGAACTGGACTTTTCCTGACTTCTTCCCAGCTCTCCTCTTTTCAGTCTTTTCCTCTCATTCCAAACAAATTTTCTTTCATCTGTCTCTGTCTTCAACACAACCCAGACTTGGTTTGGTGTCAGGGCATTCTGGAAACATTGGATTCTCTGATATGAGCTGGCCTTTGCCTTTTCCCCAGATAACATTTTCTCTGTGTTTATTCATGATTTCTCACCCTGAGGATGGTTTTGCTCATCCATCCAGTAAAAATCCTGTTAACTTCCACTACAATATGTCAGGGCCCTGTCCTAAATCCTAGAAACGTGGAGGAGAGGATATCATCCCTCACGCACACACCAGTGAGGAAGACATACTGATGCCCACACCGTAGCTCTGTATGATGCTGGGACTTCTGGACCCAGATCTGGAGATTCCTTCCTTCTGTGCTCTGACTTCCTCCCCCTTGCCCTTGTCCTTCAGCCAGGAATGGGCAACAGGCCTTCCCTGCAAAGAGATATACTCAGAAACTACCTCTTTCTACCCATAGCTCATTCTCTGGATCAATGACAAGCTGCTGACATCGGCAGATACATCCTATGATGAAGCACGCAACCTTCACAACAAATGGCTGAAGCACCAGGCATTCATGTCAGAGCTGGCTTCCCACCAAGGGTGGCTTGAGAACATTGATGCAGTAAGTCAAGCTAGTGGGTAGAGGGTGGCTCTCTGCTCAGCTATGCTGTGTTAATGGGGCTTCACTCACAGCATAGACACTGTCCTGAAGCTTGCTGGATGGCATAGAACTTGGTAGTGAAGAAAAAAAAATTCTTTTCTAAATAGTAAACCTTCAATGCCCCCAACACAGACAATATTAAACCTGGTCAGAACTGGTGCCACTTCCAGACCACTCGAGTTTGGGGCCAGTCCAGGACATTAAGGACTACCCAATTTGGATGTCAACATCCAGTATTAGAACAGCAGTCATTTCTGTTTGCCTTCCATTATCATTACTAGGGCTACAGTGTTATCGAGCCCAGGGCCAGAGAGTGGCAAAACAACAGGGAAGCAGTCATTCATAGACTTCATAAATGGGAGTCTAGGGGACTCCTCCAGTGGGCATGCCCAGTAGCATAAGTCAAAAGGGGACAACTGTTCAATCTGGGAATCTCATCCCTTTGCTCTCCCACCTTGTGGCTGCCAGGGATTCGGAAGATGCCATGCTATGGAGTGATTAAGGGCATGGCCTCCAGAGCCAGGCTGACTCCTTCACTTCCCCGAAATGTGGTTAATAACAGCACTACCCAGGGCACTGTCAACACTAAAATGTTTGAAGACAGTGCACTTAGGGTAGAATTGAGTAATGTGAGTCGGTTGATGAATAAATACTGGCTACTGTTAGTCGTATATCTTCCTGGTCTCAAGTTTCATTATGCTGTACACACCCCAAAACAGAGCTAGGTAAGACAGCCTCAGTACCTACCTTAAAAGATCACCCCAGGTCAGCTTATCATTTCTGGAACTCACACGGTGCAGTTAGCTCCCAGATGGATCAGAAGCCTTTATGTTTTTAGCACCAGCTGACCCCTTGACATACTGCATTCTGTCCCAGGCACTGCTTTCCCCGCCCTGCCTTGCCCTCTTCTGCAAACCCCTAGGTGACCAGAGTTGGTCCCAGTGTGCCTCAGCCCAGTTCTGTGCTCATCCTTTGCTTTACTGACTTCTCCTCAGGTAGCCCCTTGGCAGACACCGGAGAGCGCTGCTTGGGAGCCACTAGGGCCTAAAGGGTGTGTTCTCCTCTCTCCACAGGAAGGAAGGCAGCTGATGGAGGAGAAGCCCCAGTTTAAGGTCATAGTATCCCAGAGGCTGGAAGACTTACACCGGCTCTGGGATGAGCTCCAGGCCACCACCAAGGAGAAGACCCTGCAACTCTCAGCCGCCAGGAGCTCTGACCTGCGCTTGCAGACCCACGCGGACCTCAACAAATGGATCGGTGCCATGGAGGACCAGCTGCGATCAGATGACCTGGGCAAGGACCTGACCAGTGTCAACCGGATGTTGGCTAAGTTGAAGGCATGTGGGTGGGCAGGTTGTAGACTCGGGATGTTAGACTAGAGGGTATCCGGGAAGCAAACCTGAAACCTTGAAGGGAGCAATCCCACCATTCCTCTCCGCTGTCCTGGCTTTTCTGATGCCCAAAGATCTCCCACCCCTTTTGCAGTGGGGTCAATCACGAATCCAATTAAAGGAAGCATGAGAAATATGGGAGGGCAGGGTGACTAGCGGGTTCATGGAGGAGGCTGAGTCCAACTGGGCTTTGAAGGGTGGGTGGGAGATGGATGGATGAAGGGGAAACAGCCAGCAGGTGTTGAGGCTAGGTCTGATACCATCGCCTTGTGTCTCAGCGAGTGGAGGACCAAGTGAATGTGAGGAAGGAGGAGCTGGAGACGCTGTTTGCCCAGGTGCCCTCCCTGGGAGAAGAGACTGGAGATGAAGACATGAGCATCGAGAAGAGGTTTCTGGACCTCCTGGAACCCCTAGGAAGGAGGAAGAAGCAGCTGGAATTATCCAAAGCCAAGCTGCAGATCAGCCGGGACTTAGAGGATGAGACGGTGCGTGGGCTGCAGCCTCTCCATCCCCTGGGGCTTGGCTGCCAGCTGCCAGGAGAACAGCTGGCTACTATCCAGAGGAATCTTGGTCATCTCACCCCATTTATCTCATAGGGCTGCTGTGGGGATTGCATTAGTAGGAAAGCAAAGCTGCTGCTTTTTGAATGGTAACCGTCAGTCACTTGTCAAAGTGGGTGGTGATGAGCATGGACTTTGGGGTCAGTCAGACTTGGGTTCAAGATTCCGTCATGTTGCTTTCCCACTGGTTTTTGTTTTTGTTTTTTTGCACATAAGTGGGTTGCTTGGAAACTCTGTTTAAAAAATTACCAAAATATATTTACAAAATCTCTGTAAATATGGGGGTATACCCCTGATGGGGTGTTGGGAGAGACCAGGGAGACACTGCCAGCAGTGCCCTGTCTGGCTCTTTGTGGATGCTCCTCAATGAGTGGCTGTAATTGTCATTGCTCTCCCCTGCCTTCTGATCTCTGCAGCTCTGGGTGGAGGAGCGGTTGCCACTGGCCCAGTCAGCAGACTATGGCACGAACCTGCAAACCGTGCAGCTGTTCATGAAGAAGAACCAAGTGAGTCCTGCTTCCCTTCACCAGCCCACCTCCCTTACCTGGCCCAGGGGTCCAACCTAGCACAGATCTGTAGAAGGCTATTGGTGGCAGATTATAGCTCCTATGATGGCTTCGGGGGTCCCCAAACTATTTGAAGTCTTACTGCATGAAAGGGTGGCTCTGGTGACTGCAGAGAGAATCAAGGGACATGGGGATTTGGGACCATTTAGACTCCATCAGGATGGAGTGAAGGCTGGATCCTGGAGGCTTTTCCGGGGTTCCGTGTGCATGCATAGCCCCATACCTAGTGACCTCACTGAGAGGAAGCTGGTAACTCCTGGTTTCTCTCCCATAACACTGCTTTGCTTCTTCTGTGGCTGTTAGGCATGTACAGGCAGTGTCCTCAGGATATGTAGGCCCTGTTTCTCTGGACCTGTGACAGTACTTGTGGTGCTCAAATCCTATGGAAATCTACTGAACATGGATTCTGAAGCCTAGAAGCAAACACCCATCTGCTGCCCAGCTCTCTCTTAAGCCAGATTAGGAACTTATAATGAACCTAGCCAGAATCCTGAACTTGAGCATATTTTGTGCATCAATGGTACAAAGTAAGCCCTAAATCCTCTAGGAATCCAGTTGAGTGGGGCTGCAAGGGTTTCATGCCTGGCCCAGAGCTAACCCCGGGCTCCTGCTAGACAGGGTCAGGCCTCTGGACCAGCAAGGTGAGCCTAGGTACTTAAATCTCAGAGAAGCATCACTCTAGCATTGCAACTCCTTGGGGAAGGAAGATTGTGGTGCCCAGCACTCTTTTCCTCCAGAATAATAGCAATGAATACATTCTTGCAGAACTGTCAGAGCCCAGAAACCATGCAGAGCCCAAGCTAGAATCAAAGACATCTCAGCCAGGCACTGGTGCCTCACACCTGTAATCCTAGCTACTCAGGAGGCTGAGATCTGAGGATAATGGTTCAAAGCCAGGCAGGAAAGTCCTTGAGAGACTTATCTCCAATAAACCAACAGAAAACCAGGAGAGGCACTGTGGCTCAAATGGTAGAGTGCTAGCCTTGAGCTGAAGAGCTGAGGGACAGCACCCAGGCCCAGAGTTCAAGCCCCACGACCAAAAAAAAAAAAAAAAAAAAAAGAATAAAAGACGTCTCTTCCAAGTTCTCTTGGACCCTTTGTGTCCAGTTGACATGATCTAGTTACAGAGGCTCCAGTAGCCATCTGCAAGAGCCTGAGCTTAGAAGATAAGAATCAGGATCAGTTAATTCCACAAACTTCTGTTGAAGAAGGAAGGCCACTGAGAGACACTGTTCTGTGGGCCTCCATTTCCTCCATTATGAAGTGAGCCAGCTGCCATATTTCCAACACAAAAGGCTTTAGCTTTTTCTTTTTTTTGTTGGTCATGGGGCCTGACCTCTGGGCCTGGGCGCTGTCCCTCAGCTCTTCAGCTCAAGGTGAGCACTCTATCACTTGAGCCACAGCTCCACTTCTGGCTTTCTGAGTGGTTTATTGGAGATAAGAGTCTCACAGGCTTTTCTACCGGTCTACCTTTGAACCACGATCCTCAGATCTCAGCCTCCTGAGTAGCTAGGATTACAGGCGTGAACCACTGGCACCAATCTTAGCTATTTTTCAAATATAAGTGCCCAATCATTCCCAAGTCCCCTGGTGAGCAGTTGCTATTCTAGTGCAAGAGCAAGGCAAATATGGATGAGGTTCCCCTAACCAAGAAGGAAAAAGCAACCTCTTGGGATAGTGTGGCTGGCCTAGCAAAGGCTATTTTAGGCTAGCCCTGTTAAAACAAAAATCACTTTTATCATCTCTTCCCTGAAAACTTCTTAATGCAACAGCTTGAACTTCAATGTGCTTTTATCCAGAGGGCTTATTAACTACGGTTGACCAGGCACCACCCGAGGAAGCAGAATCTGAGGGTAGAGCCTGATCATTTGCATTTCTAGCAAAATCTTACAGTAGAGCCTCCACTCTGAGAACACTACTCTAATGGCTATCTTCTGAAATTAGAGCAATACTAGAGTGCTGTGATGCACCCATTTAAAAAAAAAAAAAAAAGAAACCTGGTGTGGTAGCACATCCCTGTAATTCCAACGATTCAGGAGGTAGAAAAAGGAGGATCACAGTTCAAGGCTAGTCCCAGCAAACAGAGTCCATCTAAACAAACCAGGTATGGTGGCATGCAGAGAGGCCTGTGGTCCTAGCTATAGGTGGCTGAGGTAGGAAGATCTTAGGCCAAAACTAGCCCTAGGCTAAAATCCAAGATCTTATCTGAAAAATAAAAGCAAAGGGGGCTGGAGGCAGGAATCAAGTGGTACAGCACTTAGTATCAGTGAAAAGCTCTGAATTTAAACTCTAATATTGAAAAAAAAATCACCTGGGAAATTTTAAACACAGAAATGCTCAGGTGCCACGTTAGTCAACGAATTGTGCTATCTAGGAGTGGAACTCTGGCTTTCCCTGCTGCCCTGGATTATTGCTTGAGCAAAAATCAGAGTTAGAACCACCACCTTGTCCGAGACGGCACCTGCTAACCTCTAAATCACATCTCATCACTATCACCCATCTTCACTCTTCTCTTCCAGATCTTCTGGTCCTCCCTCTTGCCTTCACATGCACTCCAAGGCCTTTGCACTTTTCCGTCCCTCAGGCCGGGAACACTTACCCTCCATCTTTGTGTGGTTGTCTCCCAGTACCTAGAACAGGACCTGGTACACAAAACTTAATAAATGTTTGTTGGATGAGTAAAGACAGGGAAGAAATCACAGAAAAGTGCTCTGCCCACGGTCCTTTTTAGGGTACCATTTAGAGGTCATCTCAAGGAAAGTAAAGAGAAAAATGGACAGCTAATAACATGGGCTGTGTGAATACAATTGAATACTTGTATACTACAGAAAATAGTCAAAATGAAGATTCCACGTATGAAGTATAGTAACACACCCCAGCAGATTGCGGTATCACCACGTGCGCTGTCCTTGCCTCTGCTTGCCCAGAGGGAGGAAATGAGGAGGGAAGAGTTCAAGGGCCCCACAAAAGAAGTATCTCACCTTCACCTCTGGGGCCCAGAAAGGACAGGTGTGTGTGTGTGAGAGAGAGAGAGAGAGAGTGTTTCTTGAAGAAAAAGTTGACCCGTCACCAGAGTGGGAAGAAAAGGCCGCTTTGGGTGGTCAAAGGCTAAAACAGGAAATAATATACAGTTCACAAGATGTAAGGGATAGAAATGGAAAAGACAGAACCAAACCCCAAAATCAACACAAGAGGCAGCTATCAGCTCTCTTGGCAAATACCTTTCCTGTCCTCCAACACAATTACCTGGGCGAGCAGCTCTGTCGAGCTTGGTCAATGCTTAGAAAATAAGGGAACAATCAAGACCCTACCCCAGACTTTGGATTCAAAGAGAGCTGTGCTCAGATCAAGCCTCTGCCACTCACTGCCAGCAAGTTCCTCCCCTGCCATGTGCCCATTTCCAAGTGCCACCTGCAAATTAAAGAAGGAGGCATGAGAGTCCTTAGCAACCTGACTCTGGCAGTTTTGATTGCCATCACCTGCTGTGCTCAGAGCAGGTGTCAGACCCGCTCTCTAGGCAGCAAGGCCCCACCCCTGAGCCCTTCCTCTGGCCACAGACGCTGCAGAACGAGATCCTGGGCCACACGCCACGGGTGGAGGACGTGCTCCAGCGAGGAAAGCAGTTGGTGGAGGCGGCAGAGATTGAGTGCCAGGACATCGAGGAGCGCGTGGGGCACCTGCGGGCCTCCTGGGACACGCTTCGGGAGGCAGCAGCGGGAAGGCTGCAGCAGCTGCGGGACGCCCACGAGGCCCAACAGTACTACCTGGATGCAGGCGAGGCCGAGGCCTGGATCAGCGAGCAGGAACTCTATGTCTTCTCCGACGAACCCCCCAAGGTCTGCTAGGGGAGGGGCTGCCAGCCGGGGTGCTGAGGCGCTGAGGCAGAGCCAGGGCGGGCGATGTGTGGTGAGCCTTGGAAGTCTCCTAGGAGGAGAGAGTCAGGCAAGGTGTCTGGAAAAACTACCCTGCTCCTCCATGGTGCCTCCTTACCTTTCCCACCTCCTTAAGATAGACCCGGGCACAGAGCTCACGCCTGTAATCCTAGCTACTCAGGAGGCTGAGATCTGAGGATTACAATTAAAAGCCAGCCTGGGCAGGGAAGTCTGTGAGGCTCTTCCACCTCCATTTAACCAGTAAAAAGCTAGAAGAGGAGATGTGCCTCAAGTGGTAGCATGTCAGCCTTGAGTGAAAAGGTGCAGAAACAGGCCCCAGGCCCTGAGCTCAAGCCACCGCACGCACGCGCACACACACACACGCACGCATGCACGCACGCACACACACACCCTTTTAGCACATAGCCTGCAGCAGGACCCCACTTACCATGCAGACATGCTTTAACCAAGAGCTTACCATACTTTGGACATGGGTAGTGGCTGGTGAACAGTACAGTAGGGTGGGATAACAGGTCAGGTGAAGGGGAGTTTTCATGGGGACAGAAGGTTGGAAGTGGGTAGATCTCCAACACCAATTGTGACCCAGGGGAATGGGGAAAGGAGGGCAGGGCATGGGCTGTGAGATCTGGTAGCAGGCACAGGAGGTACTGGCTCTACCTCAGCACCTCCAGGAGCTGGTCTGTAACTCACTAAGGGCTGTGGGGGGCAGGCTGACCAGGCTGGGCTCTGGCACTGACCGTCCACTGCCTTCTAGGATGAAGAGGGCGCCATTGTGATGTTGAAGCGGCACTTGCGGCAGCAGCGCACAGTGGAGGAGTACGGGAGGAACATTAAGCACTTGGCCGGCCGTGCCCAGAGCCTGCTGTCTGCAGGCCACCCAGAAGGGTGCGTGTGCCTCCTGGGGTGACTTGGCAGGTCATGGCATTAGGCCAGAGGCCTCACCAGCCTTTATCCCCTAAGAAGGGAAGATGAGACACCTTTGCCCAAAATGTACATGTTCCTGGACTGTTCGATTGGCCAATTTCATTTCAAGCCTTAGTTTTGTGTGTGAGGAATTCCAGAGTAGACCAGCTGAGGCCTGGTTTGCATAAAAATCAGAGAATGAAAAACTGTCCTCCTGGTGAACTGAGAACTCCAGTCTTTTGAAGAGTTAGCAGATACTAAGAGTCACTGAGAGCTGGGAGCTTTTTAATGGTATAGATCAGAAGGTACTTCAGAACCCTCCATATGTGACTATGAAGATAGAAAAGCTATACAAACCAGCTGGCCTCCTGAGTTGCTTGGATTCTCATAAATGGGAACCCACTGGTCAGACTCCTCATAGCTCTTTCCTCAACTGTCTTTCGGGCACCCATCATTTGGGTCCTCAGCAGCGACCCTTACATCTTCCAGGGCACACAAGGCCTGAGTCCCTAAGTTGCTGAGCAGGGCCACTGTACTGGAGCCCCCTGCAGATCAGAGTTCAGCTCCACCAGCCCTTGGGAAGGGATAGTGGTGGCCGCCCTTTGCACTTACATCTGTGAACTTCCAAGAGGGAGGGACGCTGCTGGAGATGCCACCCTGGGACAGAACTCCAGAACAATCCCGCCATCCATGAAGTCTCATTCCTTCTCTTGCTCCCCACCCCAAAAAAGCCCCTGACGCTTCTCTTGAGTTTCCCTCTCCTTCCTGTCCTCAGCAGGGTCCTGGGGACAAATAAGTCAGCTCTTCTCACACTGGCTGCTCAAGTTCTTGCTCGCCATCTTTAAAGGGTGTCTTGGTTTGAATTCCAGGGAACAGATCATCAGACTTCAGGGCCAAGTGGACAAGCAGTATGCAGGGTTGAAGGACATGGCAGAAGAGCGTAGGCGGAAGCTGGAGAACATGTACCACCTATTCCAGCTGAAGAGGGAGGCTGATGACCTGGAGCAGTGGATAACAGAAAAGGAGATGGTGGCCTCATCCCAAGAAATGGGACAAGACTTCGACCATGTCACTGTGAGTAGCCACAGTACCACTTCTCTTGGTCTTCTGATGGCGCAGGAGTAGCTCACCATCCCTCCAGTCCTGGCAAAGCCCATGCCAGTTCCAAAGTATTGTGGGCTCTGACTTCTCTGGGGAAGGTGTGAGAGTCTGCTGTGCATGGTTCACAGGGACCACCCAAGAACACCAGTAGTTTGGAGCGTGCCTGTGGGCCCCCACTAACTGCATTTCTGCCTTCTGTCCAGATGCTCCGGGACAAGTTCCGGGACTTTGCCCGGGAGACTGGGGCAATTGGGCAAGAGCGAGTGGACAACGTGAATGCCATCATTGAGCGGCTCATCGATGCCGGCCACAGTGAGGCAGCCACCATTGCTGAGTGGAAGGATGGGCTGAATGACATGTGGGCGGACCTTCTGGAGCTCATTGACACGCGCATGCAGCTGCTGGCCGCCTCCTATGACCTGCACCGCTATTTCTACGCTGGGGCTGAGATCCTGGGCCTCATCGATGAGAAGCACCGCGAGTTGCCCGAGGACGTGGGTCTGGATGCCAGCACGGCTGAGTCCTTCCACCGTGTGCACACTGCCTTCGAGCGGGAGCTCCACCTGCTAGGCGTGCAGGTGCTGCCCGCCTTTTGTTGCCTACAATGTCATGACCACCTTTTGGGGGAATCCCAGGGTAGCAGAGGTCCACCTAGACCTATAAGGAAAGCAATCTAGAATGAGCACAGGATTTCTCTTCCTTAAGGACTAGCAGCTCAGGGCAGGGAGCGGGGTTTTCAGATATCCTCTAGCTTCAGCAAGGGTTCTTTGAACTAATATCACAAAAAGCCAATATATAAAATGCCGCCCTACGGTCCAGTTTCTCTGCTTGCACTTTTCTAGCATGAGGTACATTTGGATCCCCCAAAACATCTTTTGAATGGGAACAGAGAATTGCATTTTGTAAATGAAGAAGGCACAGAGGGCCAGTCAGTTGCCAAAGTGAAGTAATCAGGAACCTACAGTAAAGCCAGCGTTTGGGCCCTGGGTGTAAATCCCACATGCCTACTTTGCTTAGACTCCTTCCCTGATCACTCAGCTTCCCCAGGTCTCGGCGTCAAAGACAAGGGTGAGGGGTGCTAGCTGCCAGGGATTTCTCCCAAGCTCCCAGTGGAGTACTGAGCGGTGGGGTGGACGTGCAATCCTAGACCATCCCTTTAAGCTCAGGGACTCAACCCTGAGTTAGGTTGCTTCCTGGTTTGCCTGAAAGTAGACTTATTAGGATTTTGTCCTCCAGCTGGAGGTGGGACCTGGTGTGTAGGTGCCATGTTTGGAATTCCAGAGCCCTTGAGACACTAGGTGCCACTGAGATCTCAGGAGTGAGGTCTTATGCTCCTGAGATGTGATCTGGGACAGCCCCTTCCATGGACAGGCAGCATGCAGCGTGGATAAGAAGAGAGACAGAGTTGCAAGGTCCCAACCAGCTGTCCCCTTGGCCAATGTGAGGTACCTGGGCCCCCTTAGCTTCCCTGTGCCTTGGTTTCCTCATCTCAACAGCAAGAATAATAGTACCTCTACCATAGATTTCTAGAAAGAAGTTACTAGAAACTATCTAGAACAGCACCTACTCCACAGGCTCATTGTTACTTCTGCAGGGGTTAAAGGGTGTTTGAGTCCCTCTCCCTCCCAAGTCACCACCAAAGGCCAGCAGATACCAAGACAAGCAGAGGTGCCCAAGCAGGGAGCCTGGTCCTATAGGACCCTCTGGGCAGAGGCTGGACAGAGACACTCCCAGACCCAAGATGCCTCTGTCCCCGGAATCATGTCTGGTTTGGTTTGACCACAGGTACAGCAGTTCCAGGATGTGGCCACCCGCCTGCAGACAGCATATGCTGGGGAGAAGGCAGATGCCATCCAGAGCAAGGAGCAGGAAGTGTCTGCGGCCTGGCAGGCTCTGCTCGATGCCTGTGCTGGGCGCCGGGCCCAACTAGTGGACACAGCAGACAAATTCCGCTTCTTCAGCATGGTCCGAGACCTTCTCTCCTGGATGGAGAGTATCATCCGGCAGATTGAGACCCAGGAGAGGCCCAGGTGAGAAGGGCACCCTCAAGGCAGTTGGTGCTCTGTTCTGGGTGAGGTTGACAGACCAGGGCTTCTTTTCAGAGGGATAGAGAGTTGTTAACAATCCCCCAGGAGCACCAGAGACTCAGGGTGGGCTCAGGTGGAGGCAGAGTAGCTCAGCTTCTACTGGGAGAACCAGCCATTTCAACTAAGTGTTTGAGAAAGACATTTGTCATTCTGGCAGTGATGCTCCCACATGCACAGCTGGGAAGATCCAGGGCTGGTCTTTTTTCCCTAGTTGCTGGGAAATGGGCAGATGAGGTATGCAAGGCACAAAGGTTCAGACAGTTGCCAAAAGAGAGTCATCAGGAACCTACAGACATGCAGGAGAGCCAGGTTATAGAGGCAAGGTCTAAACCTCAGGTTAGAGGCCAGGTCAGGCTCATGAGCCCAGCTGGGATCTACCTCTCTTTCCAGTTTTGTCAGTTCAGCAGCTGTTGGTGACTTGTCTCTGTGTCTCCCTCTGCCTCCATGGTACCTGTCTTGATGACCATACTTTTGACTGTAACATCTTTATTGAGATATAATTCATATACTATACTTCATCCATTTAAAGTGAACCATTCAGTGGTTTTCATACATTACCAGTTACATGAACACCTCCCCAGCCTAAGGTTAGAAAATGTTATCATCGGGCTGGGAAGGTGGCTTAGTGGTAGAGTGCTTGCCTTGCATGCATGAGGCCCTGGGTTCGATTCCTCAGCACCATATAAGCAGAAAAAAAAAAGCCGGAAGTGGTGCTATGGCTCAAGTGGTAGAGCGTTAGCCTTGAGCTGAAGAGCTGAGGGACAGTGCCCAGGCCCAGAGTTCAGGCCCCATGACGACAAAAAAAAAAAAAAATGTTATCATCTCCACAAAATGACCCACCCCCATTAGCAGTAACTCAGTGTGTTCTCACCCCTCACCCCTAGAAGCTGCTACTTTTTTTCTGTCAATCTAGATTTGCCTGGGCCAGACATTTCATAGAAATGGACTCACATAATATATTGTCTTACGTGATTAGATCCTTTGACTTCAGCCTGTTTTTAAGGTTCACTCATGTTGTAATATATCAATACTTTGCTCTGTGTGTGTGTGTGTGTGTGTGTGTGTGTGTGTGTGTGTGTGTGCGTGCGCGCGTGCTGGTCCTGGGAACAGAACTCTGGACTTGGGCAATATCCCTGAGCTTCTTTTGTTCAGGATAGCATTCTACCACTTGAGCCACAGCTCCACTTGCAGTTTTTGTTGCTATTGTTGTTTGAGGAGGGGGGTGGTATTGTGGTAATTCATTGGAGATAAGTCTATGGGCCAGGCACTGGTGGCTCATGCCTGTAATCCTAGCTACTCAGAAAGCTGAGATCTGAAGATTGTGGTTCAAAGCCAGCCCAGGCAGGAAAGTCCACGAGACTTTTATCTCCAATTAACCACAAGGAAACCGGAAGTAGTGCTGTGGCCCAAGTGGTAGAGCACTTGCCTTGAGCTGAAGAGCTAAGGGATAGCACCCAGGCCTAGACTTCAAGCCCCAGGACCACCACCACCAACAACAACAAAAAGCACCTCATGGACTTTCCTGCCCTGGCTAGCTTCAAACTAGGATTCTCAGATCTCAGTCTCCTGAGTAGCTAGGATTACAGGCGTGAGCCACCAGCACCTAGCCTCTTCACTCTCCACCCCCCCCCCACTCTTCACTCTTTTTTAATGTTGCATAATATTTCCAGGCTTCTTTTGGGTTCCCTGCAACTCACCCCTGACCATTGAAAATATTAGGGTATCAGTGTTCTTGCTGGGGTTGGGTTGGAAGAGGATGCCCTTGCTGGCCAAAGGGAGGAGGGAGCAGGACCAGACTCCTAGAGGCAGCTAGGAGGCCACCTCCTCTGCTAGGGTGGTCCAGAAGTTTCTTGTCCTAGACTTCCTCTCTACCCTTGTCCTTGTACCCATAGGGATGTCTCCTCCGTGGAACTGCTCTTAAAGTATCACCAAGGCATCAAGGCAGAGATCAACACGCGGAGTAAGAACTTCAGCACCTGCCTAGAGCTCGGGGAATCCCTGCTACAGAGACAACACCAGGCCTCAGAGGAGGTGAGCCCTTTCGTGTTCTTGTGCCCACTCTGGCTGGCCAGCAGCTTCTAGGGGGCGGGAAGGAGCTTCAGAAGAGCCTGTCTTTTACTCATGGAGCATCAGCGCTGCCTGCAGGCCAAGGATCAAAGCCACTCTGAGCCCAATCCTTGTTAAGGAGACACCCACTCACTAACGGATGCCTCATGTGGGTGCCTCAAAGAGGTTAAGTCGCTTGCCTAAAGCTAACAAAGTCTCAGAACCAAGACTTGAAGACAAGATGATGTGACCAAGACAGGCAGTCTTTGCAGGCTTCCCTGCGATGGGTGGAGGGAAGGGTTACCAAAGCTTCTCCTCCCTTCCTTCCCTGCAGATCCGGGAGAAACTGAAGCAGGTGGTATCCAGGAGGCAGGAGATGAATGACAAGTGGGAAGCCCGTTCTGATCGGCTTCACATGTGTGAGTACAGCTCAGGACCCAGGAAACCCAGGGTGGAGAGCCAGGTAGACTCCTGCTCAAGCAGGGAACCAGCCTGGAGAAGACTCCTCAGCACCACCCATGGGCAAAGTTCTGAGCCAGAAGCCTTGGAAGTCCAGGCAGAGGCCTAGAAAATTATGTGCCCCTGCTTGGCCTCCCCTATTTGCCCCTGCCATCTGAGCCCAGCTGGTATTCCTACCTGGCTGTGGCTGGGGAGTCAGAATAGAGTTGCTTCCAAGTAACGCATTTTTAAAATAGAACAATTGCTCAATATGGGATAAGAGGGGCGGCCCTGGGCAGGAGGTCAGCCCTGAGAAAGGTTTTCATGCAATTTAGAGATTCCTGTCTAGCTGGCCACCAGCTCCCACGTGTGTCCGGGGGCTATTCCAGGTTCCTGCCCAAGTGGACTGTGGCGTGTTAATAGGCCTCCGGGCCTCGTGGGTGGGTCTCTGGCTTGTTTTCCTGCAGTGCTGGAAGTGTGTCAGTTCTCGAGGGATGCCTCTGTGGCGGAAGCATGGCTGATCGCCCAGGAGCCCTATCTGGCCAGCCGGGACTTTGGACACACAGTGGACAGCGTGGAGAAGCTGATCAAGAGGCACGAGGCTTTTGAGAAGTCCACAGCCAGCTGGGCAGAGCGCTTTGCTGCCCTGGAGAAGCCTACCACGGTGAGCGGGGTCACAGCTGGAAAGCTAGGGAGGGGGCATCCACTATGCCTTAAGGGTCAGAGAGAATCCCCAGGCAAGAACTTGGGTGTCAGGGAGTACCTGCACTGGTAAACGACTATGGATGAGTGGAGAGGAAACGCAGGTAGATGAAGTACTGACCTGTGACCACCAAAGACAAAATGGTACATGGAAGGCCAAGCCAGCAGGGCATTGTGGGTGGGGGTCCAGGCTTAGAGAGGTCATCTGTGGCTGCTCTGACCTTTCCGCTTCTTCCTCCTCCCCCAGCTTGAGCTTAAAGAGCGCCAGACGCCTGAGAGACCTGCAGAGGAGCCTGGGTGAGTGGCAGCTGTACATGCACCTGTCAGAAAGATGAGCCACGCTGGTGGGGGGTGGGGGGGTGGGGAGGAGGAGTGGCAACTTTACATCAGAAACCAAGCTCTTGAACAAGACACAGCTGCTGACCTGGCAGTCCTAGGCTCTGGTGAGTAGCTAGGTTCTCCTGTGGGAATCTCCTGAGCACCCTCCTCATCCTGCCCCCTCCCGCCCCCCACAGCTCAGCTCGCAGGAGAAGCTTGTCTCCCTGCTGGGCATCTCTGAGAAGATGAAGGATGCCCAGCTGGGAACGCTGGGCCTCGTACTCGGGGGTCCTGTCACTAAACGAGGACTGTATCTTCCTTAGGCCTCAAGAGGAGGAAGGTGAGACAGCTGGAGAGGCTCCCCAAGTTCACCCGGCAGCCACCGAGAGAACGTCCCCGGTCAGTTTCCTGTCCCGTTTGTCTAGTTCCTGGGAGTCGTTGCTGCCAGAGCCCTCTCACCCCTACTAGACTCAGCAGGGGTGCCTTGCTCCCCACCCTCATCCTGCCCCACCCTCGTCCAGAAGCCTCATTCACCTTAGTCAATTTTTTTTAAAAAAAAAAACTTAGGTTTTCTTAATTCTTAAAGTAATTCTCCTTTCAACCCAGAAACAACTGACATGCCAGCCTACTGACATGGCTCTGCTAGTTTGGTTTTATTTAGTCTAATAAATTTTATTGTATAAATACATCACCATCTAGACCAGGAAAAGCACTTTATACAGAAGTGATTCCGTGTGTATCCTGTCCTTCCATCCAACTTTCCCACCTCCAGCTTCAATATGGCACACCCTTCCTGAGCACACACGCACGCATGCACACACGCAAACACATGAGCAACACTCTTCCATCCTGTTTGTCCTACCCAGAGGCAGATTCTTCCTTCCTATACAGTACCCTTTCCCCCTTTCTCCCCACCTAATTGTGGGCCAGAGAGTTTGGATGTAGAGCTGGTTCTAAGGCAAGAACAGATAGATTTGAGTCCTGTAGGATGGAATCCCCAGGCTTTGGGTAATAGTCAGGAGCCAGAGCTTCAGCTTGTAGAAAAAGAAGATGAGCCAGAGGCCTGGACAAACGCTGCCAGAAATCTGTGGCATGTGGCCTCAGGACTTGCCTGGAACAGATCCCTCAGGATATAACTGGGGTTGGGGAACTACTCTATGGCAGAGCTGACTGAAACAAAGCAAGAATTCTCCACATGCAAGCTTGCATGGCTTCCCTACTGCATGGGTCACCCCTTCTCCCCTGTGGCATGTGGCTCTGGGGGATCAAGAGAACAGATCCTTTAAGTACCCTCAATCCAGGTGTCCAGGTAAGTGTGCCTGACCTCTGAGTGGGGACTTTTAGAAAGATTAGTCTTCTTGGCCAGGCGCTAGTGGTACATGCCTAAGATCCTAACTACTAAGGAGGCTGAGATCTGAGGATCAGGGTGTGAAGCCAACCCGGGAAGGAACGTTTGTGAGACTACATTATTACCAACTATCCATCAACTTGGAGCAAAACATGCTAAAGGAAAACACTCTCGCCCTGAATTCAAGCCCCAGTACTACAAAAAAGAAAATTAGTATTCTTAATAGAAGTTTTTACCTCAGGGGGAAAAAAAAGATACACTTTCATTGACACAGAGACAGCTCTGTGCAAAATCCCTGTTATGCTCAAATTTTAGCCCTTCCTAACACACACACACACACACACACACACACACACACACACACC